AAAGAGCTTGACATGGTGGAAAAAATATTTACGATTTGATCCACGTGAGATATTTTTATTTAAACATATATATATCCGAATGATCTTTAAATATCATTAGGCGTCCTATACTTCACATCCTTACAACTTGATCGACTGAAGTAAATGTTCCAAAAAAAGTCATGATGAGAATTCCTTAATTCCAAGTTTGATGGTGAGAAAGGCCAGAGCTTCCATGTCACAAAATTACTCACTTAAAAGAAAGGCTGAGAGGATAAATTCCATGATTACCTGTTGAACAAAGCGATCTCTCTCTTACAAAACAAAACGCAGCTTCTAGGTCCTGTGCCCATCTATTCACAACCAGGTTTCTTGATGAGAACGCGCTACAGTAGCTCTTTCAACTCTCCTACCTGCCTCCCATTTGCTCCTAATTCTCTTGCTAACTGCTTCCTGAAGACCCTCAGTAGCTTCCATGCCAACAATCCAACTGGCATTTCAGTGCCCTGGTTCATTCCTGCATTTTCCGGAGCACCTGACCGATCCTGAGTTCCTGGCACGAGCTACCGCACTGGAGCTGGTCACGGAGCTTCTCGTTCAACGGTACACACGAGCTCCTCCAACGTGCCGCGCGTGGGAACTGGGCACTGCTGGGTGGCGCACCCACCAGTGAGACCTGCCCTTGAGGATCTCACCAGGCCATTACTGCGGACTCAGGTACGGGCAGTGAGACTTGGAGAACATACGAGAGGACACCTGGCTTTAGCCAGTGGGAGGCAAGGAGTCCTAGATCCATCCCTGAGACCTGACACTCTAAAGGCCAAGGAGGGTTAACCAATGAGGAGGACGAAGGAGGATGTCCTGGGCAGAATAATCACATGTGCAAAGAAACAGTAGAAGCACAGTACAAGATAATACTATCACAGTCGCGGGGCATACAGTCACATAGAGACTGGCATTTGGGGAAGTGACACCTAAATTGAGTATAAGAGCTGCCCAGGTGTCTACTGAGGAGGTGAAGAACACCCTGGGGGACACATGAAGTGTGTGCACAGGCACAGGGTGGGCGCCTTGGGAGAGCTGTAAGCAATTCGGGCTGATGGAGGAGGTGACGGGCTGAGGACAGTAGACCTGGGGAATGTCAATGCCATGTTAATAGTTTGTACTGAAAGTGACAGAAATCGCTGGGGTGGCAGCATATAGAGAGGACTCCCCTTTTAGAATGATCGTTCCAACTGCCTGTGGAAGGTGCAGGAGGCAGGACTGGAGACAAGTCAGAAAGAAGGCTGGGCTGAGAAACCACAGATCCTCAACCAAGGCGGGGCTGCAGGTGGGGAAATGTTTTTTACCAGGATCAAGGTATAAGCCGTACTAACAACACAGGCTTTCGAGTCAGATCTAATGCGAATCCCACTCTGCCCTTGACTGTCTGTGTCACCTTGGGCGAGTCATCTAACCAAAGGCAATTTCCTCACCTGGGAAATGAGGGCATAGCAAAGCCTACGGCTAGGAAGGACTCCACAGCATATAGATGCAAACGACAGCCAAGGTGAGCAACAGGGAGCTGCAGCAAATGAGGGCTCCATCCTTGTTATCGTTACCTTTTAATAGACTTGCTTAGCCAGATGCAGGTTAGCCAGAGAGGACACAGGACTCCAGGGCTTCTGGCCTGCTGTTACTAACAGAAAGCAGAGACGGAAGTAGCAGTTTGGGAGCGGCCTGGAGGAGGGTACGTTCATTTGTTGAGTGTGAAGCACCTGCTGTTGGCCAGAGATGGCCTTCTGTGGGTCCCCACACCCTCACACTTTGTTGCTGTGTGTGCCAAGAACCCTGACCACTTTTTAGCAGGCCGCTAATCAGTGTTGTGTTTGTAGCAAGCCACCTTGAGGGAGGAGGTACTGTCTGCCTGTAGGACGAAGAGCAGTCTTGCTAACTGCTTATATAAGCAGTAGATTCCTCAAGCTCAGTGTTCCTCAGCTGTGATGCAAGCCAGCTGCATGTGGAGCACCCATCTGGGCCCGTCGCTTTGCCCCTTGGGACTTGGAGGCCAGGGGGACTGGTGTGACTATCCTGGTGCTCACGCTTCTCGCTGTGCCCTGAGTACTAAAGTCTTAGGTTTCTGACCCCGGAGTCTCGTGTCTTCTGCCAGCATCCATAAATCAGTGACAGGTTCATTTATTGGCTTATAAATTGGAAAGAGAGACTTGGAGTTTTCAGTGTGCGCAAGCAAAGGATGGGGCCAGGAAAAGGATCCCCCAAAGGAACTCAAGAAGGAAACCTAGAGGGGAGTGGTTCCCTACAAGCCAACGGAGTAGAGTTTCAATCAAAACAGAGTAGGCAATGGCATCCAGTGATGCTTAAAAGTCAAGAAAGATGAAGACTGAAAGTGGCCACTGAATTTAGCAACTAGGTCACCAGCCAAAGTATCTCAATGACGTGGTGTGGCCAGAAGCCAAAGGGAAGCAGGTGAGGAGTGAACGCAGGTAAAGAAGGAGAGACAATGGATAAAAGGTATTTTTAAAAACTTAGCTGAAAAAGAAGGAGAGTGGTGAACAGTGGTGACCAGAGCAAGTGGGGCCAAATAAAACTTTTCAAATAGAGAGAAGAGATTTGAGTAGATCATATACTAAGGAGAACAAGCCAGAAAAGAGAGAAAAGTTGGGGGGAGATTAAGGGCAAGGGGAGGAGGGTGGAAGCAGGTCTCTGAAGAAGAGGAGAGGGCTGACTTTCAGATCCCTGGTGAGGGACTCTACTCATCTCTCCCATTGAAATGGCATTTGGCCCAGCCACACACCCTCAGGCAGGCCACCTGCTAGCTGGGCTGTGCAGTGCCTCCAGGTGGGTGGCGCCCACTGTCCCTAGGGAGGGGCCTGGTCAGCAGGTTTCCTTGGGGGCCACCTTGCCTGGTGGCCACAGATGAGAGACACAGAAGTACTTCCCAACCTGGGTGCTCTGGAGATGCCAGCAGGTGTGTTTTGCACACAAAGTGTTCAGGTAAGTTTGGAAAGTGCTGCTCTGAGCTCTGCGAAGCCAGATTGTAGAAGACTGAGTGTTCTCTGCTGGCACAGATGGGCATTTGGGAATGAGGTGTTTAAGGGGAAGAGAAGGCCTGCAGGGGGAGAGATCTGTATGGGCAGACCCTGTGGTCATGGAGTAGGAAAAGGAACTCTCATTTGCAGAACATCTGTACTCTGGAGTTTATATTAATATATTGACAAACATTCCCTGCTTGACCAAACTTTAGTCAGGCTCCTGAACCTTCTCCTAGGCCCGTCTGCCCTTCCTTGTAGCACCCAGTCTTAGCAGAGAGCCTGCTAGGTCAGTGGAGCAGAAGCCCACAGCCTGGACAGCCGGTCACCTGGATATCTGCTCCGGCTCCTCAGCCTCCCCCACCCCCACGTGGTGTCTGGTGGCCTGTCTTCAGCGAGGATCCTGTTAGGTCGGTTTGGCCAGAGTCCCCCTCACCCTGATGTCTCCTCTTGGGATTTTCCACCCACTGACACCCCCCCCACCCCACCCCCTCGGCTCTAAATTCCCACTTGCCCGCACTGTGACTGGAGTTGAGCCCAAGCTCCCCCCACTGCAAGACCCCGTTGCAGGGTCCCCATGCCTGTCACGATGGTCCTGGATAAAGGCTTCCCTAAGTGCTCTAACACATGCCATCGAATATTTTTTCTTTAACAGTGTCCACCTGTTTTACTTTCCCAGTTCTTGACATATCCCAGCCTGACAGAGGAAGAACAGGACTCAGAAGCCGGGGGCCTGCGACACACTCAGTGCTCAGTAAGCGGTGGCGCCCAGCTATGGTCTGGGTCCAGCACTCCTGCCCCTGTGGCCCACACGTCCTTACGCCCTCAAGCAGCACCCAGGGCCTGGGTCAGACAAGCTGCACAACTGCTGCCCCTGCTGCAGCCCTGCGCTGGGACCACGGCAGCCACCAGGCCTACCAGGTGGCCTGTGGTCCGCGACAGGGACGGTCTCCTATGTGCCTTAGCGTTCTCTCCTGCAAGGCCCTGGTTGGCTCTGCAAGCACGTCAGATCCCAGGGGTCTGGTCCTTTACAGGCTGGGCCCGGCAGAGGCAGGGGGGGGGGAAGAACGCGGGCCAGCAGGTGTGTGGCGCTGGACCTACTGGCTTTGCTGTACCAAGACTACCCCCAAGGACCCTTCTCCAAGGGTGTGAGGGTGAGAACTAGAGGAGACAGGAAGCACCTTTTCGGTGCAGACCCGCTGAGAGCCCGAGGGGAGCAGCAGGCCCTCTCCATAGCAGGGCAGGCACACAACACACCAGCTGGCAGTTCCGGGGCTCGCGCCCCGCAGGGACACCAGTTCTCAAAGGAGTGTGCACCCGAGTCGCCTGATGCGCTGGCTAAAAATGCAGCTCCCAGGCCTCAGAGGAGATGCTCATTCAGTAGGTCTGGGGCGAGGCCTGGGAGCCTGCGTTTTCAACCCGCGCCTCAGATGCTTTGGGCGCTGACGCCCAGTGGGGCCCACTTAGAGAGCCGCCTCGGGGCTGGAGGACCCCACCCCTGCGCTCCAAACTTTCCCCATCTCGCCCGGGCCCCCTCTCCCTCCCGCGGGCCTCCCTCGGGCCGGCGGTCGCGGAAGCCTCAGGGGACCTGTTGGGGACCGAGAGCGACGGCTCGGCCTGCCGCCCCTGCCCGCCCGCCGCCGCGCACGCCAGAGCGCGCGCAGTGCCGCGGCGCGGGCGCCGGAGGCTGCGCAGAGGCGCCGGCCGGCCCAGCGCCGAGGGCGCGGGGCGGGAGGCGCGCGGGCGGGAGGCGGACGGGAGCGCGGCCGGCGCCGGGCGGGCCGGGGGCGGCGGCCGCCGGGGCGGGGCGCGGCTGCGGCGAGCGCCGGGAGCGCGCCGGCGCGGGGAGGAGGAGCGCGGGGAGCGCCGGCGCCGCCCGCCCCGCGCCGCCCGCGCGCAACAGTTCCCCAAAGTTGCAGCCGGGAGGCGGGCGCGCCGGCGGCCGAGGGCGGGCAGCCGCCGGGGACGCGGCTCAGCCGCCAGCGCGGCGAGCCCCGGCGGCGCGGCGCGGCGGCATGGGCACCCGGCAGACCAAGGGCAGTCTGGCGGAGAGAGCCAGCCCCGGCGCGGCGACCGGCCCCCGCCGCGAACGGCCGGACTTCTGGGCGTCGCTGCTGCTGCGCGCCGGGGACAAGGCGGGGCGCGCGGGCGCCGGCGTGGGGCTGCCCCCCTACCACCGGCGCGTGGGCATGGTCCAGGAGCTGCTGCGGATGGTGCGCCAGGGCCGGCGGGAGGAGGCGGGGACGCTGCTGCAGCACCTGCGCCAGGTGAGCGCGGGGAGGGGGCGCCGGGCTGAGCGGGCCCCGGGAGCGCCCCGCCCCTTCCCGGGGAGGCCGGGGCGCCGAAGGCCACCGCGGGGGGCCCTCTCCCGCGGGGAGGGAGCCCTGCCTGGCAGCAGGTGCCTCTGTGCTCCCGCTGCATTTGGGGCCTCAGGGCAGGGCAGAGGAAGGCCGGCCGAGTGAGGCCCGGCGATGGGGACCTGTTGGAATAATGTCCCCACTTCTCTCCTCCGCAGGCAGAGAAGGCGGCTGGTCTCCAGGATGGTTGGTGGGAGGGGGTGCAGGGATGCATGCCGGGTCTGGGCCAGGGCTCTTTTCTTCCTTTCTACCCACTGGCTGGCAGTCACTCCCAGCCAAGGGTCCTCAAGGAGTGTGCTGTTATCAGTTGGAACCTGGCTTCCCGAAAGGGAGTCCAAGGGTGCAGCCCTGGGGCTACTGGGATTCCAATCCGTAGGTCATTCACCCGCCTGGGAGGCGTCCTGGGTTGTGGTTCAGGAGGAGACGGTTCACCTCCCCTGACCAACTTTGGCTGGTCCTCACCCGTGAGCCCCTGTGGGAAGCAGGGGAGCCGGGGCAGGCCGGGTTTGGTTTCCTGCAAGACTACCTGGCCAGCAGGAACACAGGAGGCTGCCAGCACTCTGCCCTCTGCTTGTGCCTGCCCCACTGGTTAGGGAGCAGACTCTGCAGATCTGCACGGTTCCCTCTGCCTTGGGGCTGCCCTGGGCTGATGGTGTTACCCACCTCTCTGGCTCTTTTTCCTTTCTCAGTTTCTTTTGGGGGAGGCCATGGCCAGTGCCGTGGGTTTTGTTGTGTGCAAGAGAGACAGGAGGGTGCAAAGCTGTTCTCCTGTATCACCAAACAGGTTGTCTTGGTCTGGCTTTGGGGTAGACAGACCAGGCCCCATATTGCTGCTAGATTGACCCCGTTAGAGGTGGAGCCTTCTGCGGATGGCAGAGAGGGGATCTCTAATGACATTCCTGAGGCTTTCCCATCCCTGAGGAAAGAGGCTGTAGGAGTGCCTTCCTGGGAGGAGCTTCCAAAATCTAATCAGACCCACATCCCTGCTGGGTTTTGTAGCACTCTACCCCACCTTTGTATGTGGTGCGCTTGTACCCTGGAGTATCGCCTCCAAGGTACGCACTGCACAGGGAAAGGGAAGCAGAGACCTGGGGACTTCGGAAGGCTCAGGGCTTCTGCTCCTGCCTCTGCTATTCCAAACAACGTCCAGAATGATGCCCGAGATGCTGCTGAGTCCCCAGATACCTTCTCTGAATTGAATCATCAAAGAAAGATGACATTATGCACCACTGAACTTTGGCAATGTATATTTGTCTTTTGAAAATTGGAAACCAATGTGTACGGCCTTTGTAGTAACTTTCGTTTTCAAACAGAGTAATGGATTTTCCATACCATCGTATCCTATTTGCTCACCAGGCACACCAGACAGTGAGAAGGTTTTACTGATCACGTGCTGTTCCCCCAGCACTGGGGTGGGTGCTCTGGGGCTACAGAAGAGCAGTGAGATTGACAAGCCCTTCTCAGAGGGCGAAAGAACAGAGTGAAGCTAGATTCTCCAGGGCCAGTTAGTTGGAGGCCCACAGGAGGAGGCTGGACCTGAAGTGGCAGATACCTGGGGCTCCTCAGCCCCTCTAGGGCTCAGTATGATTCCACCTCCAGGGGAAACCGAGCTTCCCCATTCCTTGCAGGACAGTGGATGAGCCCCTGGAGCCCCCTGCGCAGTCCTTGAGACGGGGCACTTCCTCGGGTTGCACGTGGGTCTCGTTGGTATCCTGGAGCCCTCCTCAGCTTCAGGCCTCGGGCAGACTCGTGGGCTAGGAGGCGGCTAGCAGACCTCCCCCTCTCCACGCGATAACAAGCCCTCAGGCTCTGGGCTGTGTTGGGTTCCCTTGACCCCGGGCTGGCGGGTAAGAGCTGTGGGCCTGGAGAGCTGCCCTGTGTTGCCTGAGACGGCCACACCAGGGCCCTTCCAGGACGTGGTCAAGGGCCCAGGGCAGTGTGCGAGGGGCGCACAGGGTGTCTGGGTGTCCGTGACAAACATCAGCGGTTTTCTAGGAGCCTGAGGCCATCTGGAGGAATGTCCAGCTGGGTTTGTGCTGTACACTGAAAGAGCTCTCCTGGCTCTTTCTCCCAAGTTGTATTTTCCTTCCCAGTTTCCTGCTCCCGTCTGGAGGAGGGGATGTTCAGAAAGGGATGACAGTCAGTGAGGGACGTGGGAACACACCAGGCCTCGCCAGGGTCACAGCCAGGAGAGCCTTTTCTTCGGCAGCGCAGTGGACAAAGACGGGCCGCACGGCCCGCAGGTGCTGCTGGAGAGCCGTCCAGGAGCCCAGTGGGCTCCAGGGAACAGGAACAGGGCCAAGGAGTAGCAGGAGTAGCAGCAGCCAGGACAGTAGCCATCGCGCCCCTTCCCCTTGTTCCTACAGCACATTCTCCTAAGTTTAATAACGCGGGTTTGGGCTGCTGGATTGGTGTATGCCTGGCCCACACGGTTGGAGGGGTCTTGGGATCCTTAATTCCCGTGGTTCTTAACCTCTTGGGGTCCTTGATCTTTTAGTGGCTCTCAAAGAGCTACACACGGGCTTCCCAGACATACGCATGAACACACGCGATCTCACAAGGGATTTCAGAGCTCCTGAAACCTGTCTACACACTCCACGTCAGAATCTCTGCTCCAGTCTGCTGCTACCCGTCTCCCTGCTGTGACTTGCTACTGGCTGGGGATTGGAAGCAGGGGCCCAGGACCATGTGTGGCAATTCCTGTTGGGCTGAAGGATTGTGGCTGCTGGGTTGCTTTTCCCAAATGCCCCTTTCTCATCTACGGTTCACGGGGTGTCTCTCCAGTTTGTCACTTGCTGTAAAGGTATCAGGGGGCTTCATTCAGCACAAATGACCCTGAACTGTGGCCAGCAGTGCAGGCAGGAAGCCAGGCAGCCGCCCTGAAGGAACAGAGAGGACCCCCTTCCCTTTCAGAGCAGTGTAATCTGAGAAGAGCTGGGGCCAAGGATCAAGTCGCTTCCGGTCTCCAGTCTGCTGTGACCTTGGGCCAGCAGATAACCTCTCTGAGTGTTTCCTCACACTCAGAGGGATCTGGGGTTCTGAGGAGAGCAAATGCTACAAAGTGTGCAAAATTGTCTTGGTGCTGCCAATCGAGACTGGTTCTTGCAGCAGCCGTGATAAGAAACAGGAGAATCTGCCCTACTTTGGGTCTGGCCAGACCAGGGCCGCGTCATGGTAGTCTTTCACAGCCCAGCCCAAGGATTTTTGGATTCTGTCTACCTGGCCAGGGCTCAGTCTGGATCCAGAGCTCACTGCACATTCAGAAGCAGCTGGAGCAGGGGTGCATGGGGACGTGAGAAGCCTGCTTTGGATGGGAGAAGCCATTCCTCTCCCCTTCCCCGGTCCCCAGTGCCCAGGCCTTGCCCTTCCCTGGAGGTCTCTCCCCAAGTCTTGGGCTCAGGTGTGCCATCTTTAAGGAGCCCTGGAGAGGAGGTGACCTTCTGTCATGGAGAGAGGGCAAGTGTTAGACTACTGGAAGATGAGGTGTCACCCCTTCAGCCCAGCAGTTTTTCTGAGTCCCAAAAATTTTAAACTGGGTTGTTGGCCCACTTCATGGAGCACCAGAACAAGGGGTCCATCTCCCTAGGACACACCCAGGTGGGTGGCCCATCTCTTCCTGTTCCCATGAGGAAGGGCTCCCTCATGTGGCACACCCCTCCTGGGCAGAGCTGTCCAGTGTTAGCCTGCCTGGCACCTGCCACCCCAGGGGTGTGGCTTTGGCCTGGACTCCTGGTTGTCTCTGCTGTTTCGGGTGACAGGGCTGGCTCCACTCTATACCTGGGAGCAGGAGCCACATCAGCTAATGCAAAAAGGCACCACCAGAGACCTATGTCACTTGTACCTTAAGAAGAGCTGCATAATGGACAAGCACTTGGAGGCTCCCTGGAGATCTGCAGCCTGGGTGCTCTTTCCTACCTGAAGGCAGAAAGATGAGCAAAACCTTTTTCCTCCCACACCCCAGCTAAGAAAGCCTCTTTAGGCGAGCAGGCTGGAAGGCCACCAGACAGAGTGGGGAGGCCCCACACTGGGCCCGGCTCCTCTTTCTCCACCTGGAATGCACCTTGCCCTTCCCAGGCCCCTTCCTGGGCGTGTCAGTCCAGGCCCCGCCACACTGGGCGGCATTCAATCATACTGTTTTCCCCTGATGTCCGTTTTGTTTGTCAGACAAGGTCATGTGTTTCCTGAGGGTAGAGACCCCCCACCCCAGTTGTCTGCAGTAAAGCATTGGAAACCGCAGGCTGTGACGAACCTTGGTGAGTCTGTGTGCCGTAGATGTGTACATGTGTATGTCTGCTGCTGCCATCACAGTGTGTCCTCAGAAAGCACTCGGATCCGGCTATGGCTGTGCAGCCGTGGGCTGATTAGCAGGCTTGTTAGTGCTGTCATGAGACGCGGCATGTTTGCTTTGCGTGTGGTTGGATTTCTGGGAGCGAGGGCCATGGGGCTTGGCTGTTCCTGGCAGGCTGCCAGGCGGTGGTGTTCTTGGAGAGAGGAGTGGCACGGTGCCCGGCCTCCGTGGCACCACGAGATCCCGGCCGGCAGGTGCAGTCTGGGGCCTCTGCCGTGGTGGCGAGCCTGGCCCCACGCGCCTGGTCTGCGCTTGTGCTGAATCACGTTCGGTCTCGCCACAAACAGAAACCTTCCTCTTCAGAAGCCGCCACTCTCTGAGCTGGATCCGGGCCTTTCCGGTGATAAAGGTGCAGAAGGGTTCCTATGTCACAGCCCCCTTCATTGGCTTCCCAGGCTGCCAGGGACACTGTCCAGACACACAGCAGCCCGTGTAGTGGCCAGGCATGACCACAGGGGCTGTGACTGGGCCAGTTGTCCTGACCTCAGAGTCTGGTGAGGCAGAGGTGGGGTCCTTTTCCCCAGAACAAATGCCACCTTCTCAGTGATTACCAGAAGCTACT